ATATTCTGGGGTTCTTCTCCAGTTATAAAAAGTTTATTTGTTGCCCAAAAAAGAGCAATTAGGGTTATGCTGAGACTGAGTCCTGGAAACTCGTGTAGAGAAGGTTTTAAGAGGCTGGGTATTTTGACAGTTCCTAGCCTATATACTCGTACGTATCTATTCTATATTGATGTTTGCTGTTAGAAATTGCAATTTTTTCAAACCAACAATAATATTCATCATATAAACACTAGACAGTTTGGAAAGCTACATGTGTCATCAGTGAGATTATCTTCAATCCAGAGAGGCATGTTATATTCATCCATTATGGTTTATAATAATCTTCCTCAAAATATACAAAGGATGAGTGATGATGTGAAGATTTTTAAATGCACACTGAAAAGTTTCCTCACAACAGATCCTTTTTATTCCATAGATGAATATATTTCTGCTAAGCATGTATAACATTTAATAACTATATTCCTTGAAATTTTGTTTATGAATGACAATGTAAATTATGGTTATTTGGTGCTTTTGGTTGTGTGTGGTTGTTTGCTGTTGACACGATTGTACTTCTGCAATCAAGTCTTATTTTGACGAGTTCAATATCCGGTCCAATTCAGACAACGGATCAGTGAATTTATGAATTATGTATGCATGTATGTATGTATGTAAGTATCCAGTCATAATAGGGTAGTAGTTGAGATGGCGTGAGAAGAGAGGATGATGACCATAATGAAAATATTGGGATCTTATTTAAACTGCTTTAGTTAAGGTCAATTTATTTTGATCAGGCAATATCGCGTTCACACACAACACGAAATTTTGATATATAGTGAAAATATTTTAGCAAGACAGAAGACACCTGTTGATGGCCGTATACAGCCGAACCATGTAATGTGGAAGAAGGGTCACTATGTAAGTTGCATGTGTAAAATAAATGATACATTAATGTAACACGATGCTTAAATATAATATTAGGAAAAGAAAACATCTATTGCATCTGTTTTTCTGTGACAATTTCAAATGAGGCGCTTGTATTGTATCGAAAGAGCTTAACCTAGATCCAAACTCCTTCATCTCATACATACACACATACATACATATAAATTTGCGTTTCAAAATATTCATAAATGTGCCACCAGCACCAAATATAAAACATGTCAACAAGCAAACAAAACATTGGACACTATATACATTCACAAATAAAATAACTAGCACATATAATCCATACTTGTCAAAAACATTTCATTTTCAATTTCATTTCATTTCATTAATATTTAACATACAATAGTTAAAAGGCAATACATGCCTCCTTATTAGATGTGATTGAGGAACATGTATGTTTCTAACTTGTCTTGTTGATTTACCATGAATTGTGTGATTAAAAGTATAATACCCCAAATTGTTTATCATTAGTATCATTAGAGATAAAATATATTGAGAGGCCAATGTCAGAATTTTTAATTTTTTAAAAACTGTTCTACGTGATTCTCTGGGTTTCATTCCCATCATTATCCTGATGGCCTTCTTTTGTAAAAGAAAAATCTTCTTAGCCTCCGAGTTTCCCCAAAATACTATCCCATATCTCATAATTAAATGAAAGTATGTGTGGTAAATCATCCTTAGTGTTTCAATATTGCTATACAATTTCATGTTTCTTACTGCAAAGCATGCCTTGCCCAATCTAGACAGCATCAATTCAATCTGTGACTTCCAATTTAGGGTCTTATCAATTTCAGTGCCCAAGAATTTAACGTGCGTTTCCTCATGCAATATCTCATCATTAAACTTTAAATGTATAGACATATTATCTTGATTAATTGTATCAAATTTTAACACTTTAGTTTTCTTCAGATTTAGAGAAAGACCATTACATGCAAACCAATGGCTTAAAGAATTCAACACAATGTTAGACCTTACTTGGATTACATCAAGATCAGTGCCTGATACTAATATGCTTGTATCGTCTGCATACAACAATAACTTATTATCAGTATTTAATGCTGATGACAGGTCATTGATATATAAAAGAAACAGCAAGGGACCCAAAATCGAGCCCTGCGGCACTCCATATTCAACAATCTCCCATCCTGAACAACACTTTTCATTCCCATTAGTATACAATTCCACTCTTCGCCTTCTGTTTCCCAAATATGACTTCAGCCATGTTAAAGTTTTACCACCAAGTAAATATGCTGCCAACTTGCTCAAAAGGATATTGTGAACCACACAATCAAATGCCTTTGTCAAAACACAGAAAATTCCTAATGAATGACGGCGTCATTCCAAAGTTTCTAATATATGATTAGTTAGGGCATAGATCACAGTTTCCGTACTTCTGTTTTCTGTAAATCCAAACTGAGCAGATGAAATTAGATTATTTGTATGTAAGTGCTGCTTTATCCTGTTATACATCGCTTTTTCAAATATCTTGGAGAAGATTATTAACAGTGATATTGGTCTATAACTTGCCATAACGACCTTCTCACCTGTTTTGTGTATAGGTCTTACTAATGCAAATTTCATTCTATCAGGAAAAATTCCACGTTCAAGTGATGCATTAAGTATATGTCCAAGTGGTTTACTTATTTGATCAATGCTATATTTTAATATTCTGCTAGAAACACCGTCATAACCTGTAGTTTTTCGATATTAATGTCTTAAGTATGTTCTTTATTTCCACCTCAGTTATGGGTATTAATTTCAATTCAGGAAAGTTATCATACTTAAAGAGTATTTAATAATTTAATTGCCTCATTTTTATCAGCATTTTTTGTTGCCAAATTCTTGGTTACACTTGTAAAATATTTATTAAATATTCTCACTAATTCCTTAGGATCCGTTACTTTACTTTTCCCCACTTGCAATTCTGTTACTTTATCCAAAACCTGGTTTTTTCCAGTTTCTTTATTGATAATCTTCCAAGTTAATTGTAATTTACTTATTAATCAATATTAGGGTTAATTTCACAGACCACACAACACGTTTTTATTATTGTCACACTACGTTTCGACCTCAAGAGGTCATCCTCAGGTGTAGGAACACAGTTGTGTGAACACGCGTGTTGTGTGGTCGGTGAAATTAACCCTAATATTGATTAAATACACAAGTGGATGCAAGAAACAATTAAAGTTACTTATTAATTTTTTATAATACAGTCTCTTTGCTTCTCTTATTACTCTCACTAGTATCTTACAATATCTTTTATAGTATAGCTTCAAATTATCATCACTTGGTTTTTTTGACTAAGGTGTATAATGCTCTCTTATGCTTACAAGATATTCTTATGCCTTTCGTTATCCATTTATTAGAGTATTTCTTTTTTATATATACTATGGGAAAGCTATTTTCTAAGATTGATAAAAATATATTGTGAACGATACTAAATTTCATATTAACATTAACTTCTATCCAATTTTCATTTTGTAAAGCCCGTTGAAAACATACTATGTCTTCTTCATTAATGTCTCTATATGCTCTTACATGAATGCTTTGCCTCTTCATCAGCATGTCTCCAAGCATCAACATTTGCCCATTGTGGTCCGAGAGATCATTTATAGCAGAACAAACCTGGAATTTGTTATAAGCATTCTTGTCTATAAAAAATGATCTATCAATGAGGCAGAAGTAGTACTTATTCTAGTTGGAAACTCAATTATTTGTGTTAAATTATAATAAAGCTTGTAATTGCACTTTTTTACAGTTTTCACTAAGGTAATTTATATTTGTATCACCACAGATTATTGGTTTCAATTTAAGGCTTACTAAATACGAAAGTGTAGAATCTAGCTGCTCAATAAATTGACATGTATCTCCATCAGGCGCTCTATAAATACATAATTTCCTATTATTTTTAGTTATCTATACAGCACAGATTTCGAAAACCCTTTCCATACTTAAATTTTTGAGATCTAGCTCTTGATATGATATATCGTCTTTAATTAAAATACCAACTCCACCGTTTACACATTTTACATGATAATCCTGCTGCCATTTTATATTTTGCCATAGAAAATATGGATAACTCGCTTACACTCGGATGGTGCTCACTAATACTATACATAAAATATCAGGATAATTACATACATCATTTAGAAAAATGTCAAGTTCTTTCTTATTTCTAATGCTTCTTATATTTTGATGATAAATAGCAAGTGAAGTCCGCTGACTACTATTATCCACCTTATTCTTATTATAAATCATTCCCATAAAAAATCCTTATTTCTCATGAGAAATTCTTTCACAAGCCAAATCTATTTTGTCCTGCCTAGCATAGTCTGGATGGCTTTTGTCATATATATCAAGCTGCTACTCAATTAACTGCACAAAAACAAATTTAACGTCTTCGTCAGCCTTTCGTGCCATTTTAAGGAACAAATCACTGAAGCGCGTTATAAAACAGCTGACATTAGGAAACCCCGCGGAAACACAGTTGTGAGAAGACTGGCATGCTCCGTTGCCAGGAATTTAAATTTCTCAGTCTTTCTGCGAGTTGCATTGCCGTTTCCTCAATTTTCTCTGCTTCCTTCAGTACCATGTGTAGAACTCTGCCTGATAACAATTCTCGGAAATTTCCGTTGGGTTGCGGTTGCCAGTTTCCTTGGTGTGCCCTAGCCCAGATGCGTGTAGATCAGGGTTAGCGCTGTATTATCCGTAGTCCCGAGTTGTGTGGTTGTATGATGTACAATAAATCCAATTGTTCAGTCCGAAACCCGTCGATAGTTACACCTAGACGTGAACATTTATTTAGCCCTAAACTTTACTTTGTCATACAGACACTGAATAAATTTTGGAGACAGATCCTTGTAGCAATAAAAGGCTGAATGAAATAATACCGAGGAGTAAATACTGCGTGAATCAGAGTAACAGAAGGGAATAACCGTGAGTCAGTTGCTGAAGTGGCTAATGTGTGATTATTGTTCGCATTCGCATGGTGAAATGGTTGTTGGTAATTGGTTTTCTATATTATTGTCTCGTTGTTAACCTGTTTTCATCCATTTGATTTTGTGGTTTCATAGTTCACGTGATGACAACCGGAGTGACAGCTCAAGCAGCGCAGGCAGTGGTGTCAGTGCCCGAAGTCGGAGCAGTAGCGGTTCCACAGGTTCACGAACGGAAGAAGGTTCTAAGCATGGAAGTGGTGGTACAGTTACGTCCAGGTATATCACCTGTCTCCCTCACAGTTCAAACTGATGCAACTCACTGGTTAAATACGTTGTATTATGGTAAGCCGTCACATTCTGCAAGGCATGTCATTATCACTGAATTAAGTGACATGCACTAAAATTTTATACCTGAAGACAGATAAAAAAAGCTTTTGAAATGCATATCTCATTGTGTCATATCAAAATGATACTTTAATAACATGAAAATCATGTTTTTGTACTTGCACTGATAGAACATTTACAGTACATAATACCTCTGTACTTACAAAGCCTGCTATCTGAAGTGGTGTAGAGTGAAGCAAGTTCCATTCTACTTCTTTACAGAAAATGTGACCTTTTCATAAAAAGCCTGGATGTAATTTTCATATTCAAATCTTCTCCATTCCTGTCCCTGCTTGCACCAAGGGGTAAGGTAGTAGATGAAAAACCTCACTTGTCCCACAGTATGTCATCTTCTATCTAAGTCCATATTTTTCTTGTAATGTCAATCCTGTTTATAGCTTGCACAATCCAACTCAGTCATTATTTGAATTCTAAATCCCTTGCTCACTCATGGAATTAGCCCTTCTTAAAAAGCTGCCAATTGTGCAGCTACTCAAGAACTACCCAGCATTTTATGTAACCTGAAGATTCATTACTGTGTTCACAAGAGTGCTCTACTGTTTCCTATCCTGGGCCAGATCAATCCAGTCCATACAGTCCCATCCTATCACTCTAAGGTCCATTTTAACATGGTCCACCGAACTATGTCTTGGTCTTCCTAGCAGTCTCTTTCCTTCTGGCTCTCCCGCAAATATCCTATATCCAATCATAACATTCATACCAATGCTATCACACCAGTGACCTTTTAGTATTATATATGATATCATATCACTAACGAACTCTACCCTCTTAACCGCTGATATGATTCTCTTATGTATGAAAAAACCTGTACCTAATTCATGATTTTCATTCCCCTTTCCATAGAAATATGTGTAGTCTCCTGCTGGTGCGATACCACCTCTATCCCATCTTACCTCCTGTACTTCCGCTAAATCTAACTCATATTCTAAGATTTCTTCTGCCAATGCCCTGAGTGAACCTGCCCTATACAAACTTCGAACATTCCAAGTGCCAAATCTCATATCCATTTTCTTTAGCTTTAGCTTTTCCCCCACTCTTCCTCTTCACTGATGTCATCTTCTCATAATTCATGTATGCCAACATAACCTTAGAAACTGCCGCTGTCAATGCACCTAATAATGTGGAAGTTTTTGTCACCAGTTTTCCAGCTAAAGGTACACCAAAGATTTGTACTCTTTAAAAACTGTGCAAGTCTCCTATTTTCTGAGTCTTTCACATGGACTTTCAACTCAACACAATCACTAATGCACTGACATGAGTACTACAGAATGTATATAGATGGAAGAACATTCAGTGTTGCCAGCTGAAGTTCTTTCAGCGTATCCAGCACAACATTTCTATTCCTCAGTACCTTGGTGTTTCCATCATTTTGTCCACCCCCTGTATATGGAAGTGCAGTACAGGATTAAGATACTAGGATTCTTTGGTGTGACAGGAAATAAATAAGGTCCAGACCTCTGGAATCCTCTTGTTTATTGTGTGAAAGGAATATATAACAATTTTAATTCATTTTTCAGATTTAGCAGTGGAAGGCCAGCTGCATCTTGGACATCAACACCTGATTTGGGTAACCTGAATGATGATACGAGAGCAGAGATCACCACAGTCAGTCTCACACTCCCAAGAAGGCGACGGGTACCGCCTGTGGACACTGGACAAGGTACTTTAACATTACAGTAAAATCCTCATATCACTACCAATGTGCAAATCAGGCTTTGGGCACAAAACAGAGGAATATCTTAATTTTATTCTGAAATAAATTTGGCTCTGACTATAAGAATAAAATCTTAACTTGAAGAATTTTATGTGTGAATTTCATTACATGAACCTATTTCATCTGCATGATATGGTACACTGCATTACCTGACTACTGTATTATTTAAATGACTTGTAAGATTTGAGGCTTTCACGGCTTTCATTTAAATGACTTGTTCAACAAAGTAATATAACAACTCTTTTATTGACCGTCACAACACAACAAACAGAAAAAATCAAGGTTAGCGCCCAGCTATGGTTTCGCTACATGTTTCAGCCACTAACAGCCATCATCAGGCAAACACATATTAACAAACATATACCATTGAACTGCCATACATTAGATTGGATACAATGTTATTAGTCATTTAAAATACTTTGCGTAAAAATACAATAAGTCAGATTATATAAAAACTAAAAGTTATTGTATAAAACAATATAAAACTTAATTGATATTATACAACATCGAATCAGTCATTGATTTTTTACTTTTCATACGTTTCCATGGACCAATTGGAAGTTCGATATTTCTTTTATATAAGAATGTATAGGAGGCCCATGATGGTGCAAATTAATTAATCTGAAAATGGTACGAAAATAATAGTATTACATTTTGTCATAATTAATAATTGATTTTGATATTGAAGATGTAGTATATAGTATATATTATTACTTACTGTATAGTCGGTGCCTTATCTTACGAAGAATTGTCCGTACTGTATGGAAAGTAAACAACGACTGATTTGGTGATGCAGGATTAAAGTCATTGTAAGGGAGGAAGGGTGGAGGTAAAGATAAGGTGTATGCGGGAGTTAAGGTAGGGGGGGAAGAGGGCATAACTGTATATTGTATTTTGTATGTATCATTTATTACATCGTATATAGGGTTAAACATTTCAGTAAAATTATCATTCAGTTAGTTTTGTTTGCTGATTTCGTAAATGTGAAATCTTTCGTGTTGTATCCAAGGTTCGGCCTTTCTTGCCGATATATAGGACTTCCGATGTTTTGAATATGGTACGACAGACAAAACATTGGAAGTTCTATATATCAGCAAGAAAGGCAGTGGTTTAATAACTACTTTGTTAATTTTTAACATGCTGGCTGCCAGATGACACCACATGCTTTATGATCCTTGTGTCCCTCCTGGGGTAACACACTGAAATCAATTAAAGTAAAGAGATTGCACATGGGCTTTTCACATGGTAATGTATTATAAACTTGGATAAAATGGGAGATCCACAGTGTAGGCCGCACCTGGAAGGAAGTTCTTAAGTGATATGGTGGTGGCCAACATGTTAACCATATATAAGTAGTATAATAGTGCTGTGAGAAACTGAATAGCCCATTTAGTAAAGGGACTGAGTGTAGACTGAAAAACTGGATTTCAATAGTACATAGGTATGGGGAGGAATTTTTCTCTTTACTATGATGCCATGATTGAGTGTGGCGTCCAAACTCTCAGATGTTCAGTGGACTCTCTTTCTTCCAGTGGTCAAGTGACGGCATTGTAAAAGTAAACACATATCTCTGTCTAGAGAGAAGGATAACACATTTATTCCTAGAACTGCAATATTGTGACATGTAAACACACACCACTGTCTGGATCTATAACATTAGGTTCTGATACAATTTACTTTTCTTGTGTTGACACATACAACGAAGAAGGTGAGCTTTAGCTATATTGTATTCATAGATATACCATGGGGATATTTCTAAGTTCCACCCTCCTCATACACACACACACACACCACACACACACACACACACACACACACACATGCGAACACAGAGATATATGCATCATCACAGCCACCAACAGAAGATGCTGAAATACCAGATGTTTAATTATATCTAAGGAGTTGTTCCAGTCTTTGCAAATACACTAAGCTTGGTGGCAAGGGTTGTGGAAACTTCATATGCCTGAGTTTAATGGGGACTTTACTTCTGTATGCCATCAGTTGCTTGTGGACAGGCACAGATTGCGTTTTCTGCAACTTCAACATCCTAATGTCCTAGCATGATGCATATGTGCCACATGCCTCATGTTATGTTAAAATCTTTAAATGTTGTGATCAGTGTACTGTACTGAAGTATTACAGCAAGAAAGTAATTTAAATATAAGAGTACTGAAACTAAATATTATTGTATGTCAATCTGACAGTTAACCTTAACCTCCTGTTCTGACAGTGTTTCTTCTATAAATTTTGAATACCTCATTCTGCAGACTGAACAAAGGCACTCTATTGAAAGTACAGTTATCATTTTACAAGATTAATCTTACAGAATCAATTATACTGTCGACACTACTGTTGCAGTGATGGTACTTGTGAAATTAAACAGTTGTCCTTTTGAAGGCTCCTTTGTACTTAATGTGGCCAACATAGTGAATATAATTTGAAGAGTTAATGATGACCAGCTTCCATTCATAAGATTTTTTCCTTCAGTCAGCTTTCATTATAGACCATTCGTGGATTATGTGGAAGTAATATTAAGCAGAGTGTTATATGACAGCAGATTCTCCAGAACCTACAGTATCAGACTCCTTGACACTACGCACTCAACCAAAATCCTCACCATCAGCAGAAAGTCGAAGGGATAGTATGAGTACTTCTAGCACAACTACAGCCAGCCTTCCTACCACAAAGCAACCTAGGTCATTAAGAAGAAGTACAAGCCAAAGGTATGAAAGTTTTATCACTTTTAAGGGTTATGTTCAAGAAGGATGAGAGGGGTAGAACACATACAGAGAGGTTTTTTAACTTTATTGACCAGTTCAAGGCTCTGTGCTTCACAGCAACAGGTGTGCTGCTTGTCACAAGACACATGCAAATTTTTGTGATGAATCAACATGCCTGATGGTGAATAACATTTTAATTGAAGGGAAGCAATTAACTTGAGGATCTGCTTGACAGCATTATGCTTCACAACGAGCAGGGTGGTTCATGTGTGGGAGTTTGTTTATGATTTATCAGCAGTAGGCAGCAGCTATCAGCTCCATTAGCCATTTGTTCTCAGTTACAGTTAATGGCAGTGTGGTATATTATGGTGCAGTATACTTTAGAGCAACATGTATTTCTATATGACAATCATTCATTCATCAGTAATCTATCAAGACGACAGGTCCACAGTCTCTTCCGAAACAGTTCCTCCACTTGATGCGATCTAGAGCTTTCTCCTTCAAATGAAAATATCCTCTTCTGACCCCAAGGTCATCCAGCATCTTCTTATGTCTTCTTCCTCGTCTTCTGGTCACTTCTATCCACCCCTCTATCTTTCCTTCAGTAACTTCTTTTAGAAGGCAGTTACCGCGTAAGATATGACCAATCCAATTAGCCTCCCCGTTTCTTATTTCATGTAGGATATTCCTCTGCTCACTGACTCTAAATAACACTTCTTCATTTCTCACATAATCGGTCCACCTGATCTTCTCCATCCTTCTCCAACACCACATTTCGAAGCTTTCCAGGTGTTTCTGATCTACTGCCCTAAGTGTCCAAGTTTCAGCCCCATACAAAGCGATGCTCCAAATGTAGCATTTCACTAGTTTCTTTCTCAAATTTAAGTCGAATTTGCTGGTAAAAGGATTCTTCTTGCTAAATGCAGCTTTTGCCATGGCAATCCTAGATTTAATTTCACACGTACACCTTCCATCATCTGTTAACAAGCTACCCAAATATTTAAAACATTTCACATTCTCCAGTTGTTTTTGGTCTATCTTTATTGTAACTGGGGTTGGTTGTCTCGAAATTTTCATTACTTTTGTTTTTTCCACGTTCATTTCCATGCCATAGCACCTTCCAGTTTCGATAAATGAAAGCATAAGCACTGAGTACTTACTGAGTTAGATGACATAAGGGCTGGACTCGAACATACACCTGAAAAATAACTGAAATGTCTAGCTCAAGAAACTGAGCATCAGAGTCTACTGCGAGAACAGCAACACAATTGCTGAAGCTTAGACCTTATATACTGTATCCTATATCCAGCTAGCAGGGCTCAGTGTTGCAGGTGGTTTCTACAGTCTGTCGTTGAAGGTGATATCGACCTGCAATTAATATTCTTTCCCAATGAAACGTGGTTTCACTTGCAGGGATACATAAATATGGAAAATAATCACTAGTATGAGTTCACAAATCCACATCTAATCCACGAAATCCTGCTCCATCCAGTGAAAGTTGGTATCTATGCTCTAAGTGCAAAAAGGATAATTGTACCTGTGTTTTTTAACAGAACAATTAATAATGAAGCACATATGTGTGTAGAGGGACAACTTTTTTAGCATCTCCTGTAATCCTTGAATTGTAACTTTTTTATTCTGAACGTTTTCGGCTGTCAGGCATGCTGATTCATTGGCAGAATTTGTATGCACCTAGCAGTACCCAAGTTGCCATGAAGTGCACAGCCGTGGAACCATTCAAAAAAATAAAAATCCTTGTAGAATTCATGCAGGACAAAAATAAATGTAAAGAGAATTTTAGTTTAGAAATATGAAGGAGAGAGTTCAGGTGTATGAGATATACATAGGTAGTGGGATGATGCTCACTGTCTCGCAACCCAACTTCGACATTTCGTAACACTTTGTTATTACCAAATTGTTAAAAAGAAGAGTTCTTTTACGTTAGAAGAACTGGAGCCAATATATGGAAGGAACACTACCCTCATATGCCATATGAAAAGATTGTTCTCCCTGTAACAGGCATTGGAGGCCCATAGGGTTATGAGATGTCAAGGCTCCCACATTTTCTAGCAAATTGACTCATGGGTGGTGGTGAGGTTCTCAGGCTTATTTGATGCTCACCCTTTACTCCCATGAAGATTCCTGGTACTCGTTTCTGTTAGATGGTGAGTCGATCCCAGGGCCAAAATGCAGCCGGAAGATTAGGTCAATTGAAATATCGAATGTCCTCATTGGGAACTGAACCCATGACCTTCTGGCTGGTAGCATGGTGCCTCAACCAACTAAGTATGTAGCAATGAAACTCAGTGTATGGTTGTTCATCATTTAACATTCATCTTCAATGATTTGAAGTCAGTAATCTCAGTTTCAGATTCCCTCATGTAGTGTTCGAATACACTGCCCTCCCCCAACTAAACCTAACCTGGAGGTTGCATCATATGGTGAAACATCAGCTGAGTCGTTAACTCTCCTACAGATGTCACAAGCAAACAGGAAGAAGACATGGTTTTCAGTATTGGGGCCCAGAAAGATAATTCAAAAAGGAGTATTTAGCATGTCTACAAAGTCCCGTCAGGGTTTTGAAAAATTGTTGAGTGCAAACAAATTGAGCTAGCCACATGTGGTTTGTGGCAGATCATAGTGAAACTCTGGAAGTTTTATGCTGACCTCAGTAGACCTCTATGTGGGCTTCCTTGGTAGGATGGAGAATGTCCAGATGATACTCGAGCTCTTGCTGTGTTCTGTGGAGTATATCTGCTGGAATAGCTGAGGTCGCATTCCTGATACGGGTCTTCAGGTCATCAAGTCCGTTAACTGGTGTTCGGAACACACTGCTCTTGACATGACCCCAGAGGAAAAAATCCAGTAGTGTTATATCTCGTGAACATGGAGGCGAAGACTTTGGACTGTCTTTGCCAATCCATCTTCCTGGAAATGTCCTCTCTAGGAATACAGGTTTTTTCCTGTGGGGTCATGTCAAGAGCAGTGTGTTCCAAACACCAGTTAACGGACTTGATGACCCGAAGACCCGTATCAGGAATGTGATCTCGGCTATTCTAGCAGATATGCTCCTCAGAACATGGCAAGAGCTCGAATATCACCTGGACATTCTCCATGCTACCAAGGGACCCCACATTGAGGTCTACTGAGGTCAGTAAAGAGCTTCCAGAGTTTCACTATGATCTGCCGCAAACTGCATGTGGCTAGTGCAATTTGTCTGTGCACCACAATTGTTCAAAATCTCGACAGGACTTTGTGGACACACTGTGTAATAATTACATCAGAAGAAGTTTCAGATGGTTCTCAGAGAGACTGCTTGTGACACTGCGAACTGACTGAATGGGAGGCATTTGTGATGATGATGATGAATTTTTGATTCCATAGCAGAATGGAATTTCTTTATTCTGTGCATGATTTTGAACTGCTCCATTAATACCCAATATCAAAGAGTTAACTGAAAATGTTTCACATAACAGGAGAACTATGGAACTTGAATGCAGTGTGCATATTTCATTGAATGCAAGATATTCCAAGATAAATCTACATGTAGGAAGAAAAGGTTTCAGAAAGAAATTGCTATAAAGCACAAAATTATCTATGAAAAAATTATATGTTAATTTGACTTGGAAGGTTTGTTATGGCTATTAAATTACAAGTGAATGATCATGTAAGAAATTTTAAGGATGTCACTTTTAGTTAAGTAATAGCTTCTGGATATGAAGAGATGATAGAAACTAGAACATGCTAACTACTGCACATTTCAGTCAAGGTATTAGTTTCATGATTAATTAATCCCTTGTTCTTTTGGTACCATGGACAGCAACACTGGTGCTGGTAGTGACAGTAAGGATGTTAGCAAACTGCGTCGAGTGAGGATACAATCATTAAAAGAAGTGCATTCTGTTGAAGAACCAACAAACCCAGAAGTTGAGTTCATTATTCAGGTGAGCATTATATTATGTGAGGCAGTTCTACTTTTCTATCTTTATTGCTCCCATATCTCTGTTTTATCTTCTGTCTGTACGAGGGGGGTTAAAAGTAAGTTTATGAGGCATATAAGCATATATTTTCAAGTGATTTTATTAAATCTTCAGTGTTGATGAAACTGAAGATTTCACTATTACCAGTTGGTATGAAGATCTCTTTCACTTCTATTGAAACATGTGGAGGCAGCTCTGCATGATTAAGGGGAATGCCTTTTGTAACTGAATGGCAGTTCTGCATTTTCTTCCTGGGAAGTGGTCAGTCTCATAAAAGTGATAATTTGGAATCATGCGATTTGCAATGTGTCTCTGAGAGCAGAGCCACATCTATATGTAAGTCTTGTACCTGTTTACTGAGCTCATAGTGATGCCTCCAAATGCCATTTGCATTAAATGCTGTGACTAAATGTACTAAATTAGTTAAATAATCAGGTAGACTGTTAAATATTTTTATACTCATGCAATGAACCCCTTTCTGCCTCATTGCGAGAAATGATTGTAGGACATGTAAATTTCTTTCGTGTCTTGTCGGTCTCTCATAAATTGAATAATTAAAAGTAAAATATTCCAAGTTATTTATGATAAAAGTCATCAAAGATAAAATATATTGAGAGACCAATGTTAATATATTTAACTTTATAAATGCTGGCCTACATAACTCTCTATGTTTCATCCCCATTATTATTCTAATAGTCTTCTTTTGTAAGAGAAAGATCTTCTTGGCCTCTGACAAATTACCCCAAAAAACTATTCCATATCCCATGAGTGAATGAAAGTATGCATGATATATCATTTTAAGTGTTGTAACATTACTATATGTTTTCACAATTCATATCGGATAACATGCCTTTCCCAATCTGGGTAACAGTGATTCAACCTGTGTCTTCCAATTCAAGCACTTATCAATTTCAATGCCCAAAAATTTAATATGAGTTTCCTCTTGTAATAATTCATCGTTAAATTTTAAATGTACTGGCATATTGTCACGATTGATTGTTTCAAATTTTAACCCTTTAGTTTTCCTCAAGTTTAGGGATAAGCCGTTGTATTTAATATATATTGACAATGATAATAAGAGTTTTTCTGATGTTGATGATAAACAAAAAAACGACAGAAAATAATGTAAATGCATGTTCATGTACTTATACACGTATAGAACATACTACAATTGTGTATGTGCAAAATTCCAAATACAATGATTTATTGCAGGAATACAACTTGCTTATAGTGTGCCACACAAGAACTGTGTTATGAAGGGCGCAATAATGACATGTGTTTGAGTCCAGGAACCTAGAGACATTAAATTTAAGTAGGCACCATGAAGAGTAAAATCAGTTTCTGAAATTTGGTGCAGATTTTTCAGCATGGACACTTTAGTAGGAAATAATTTCACTGTGTAACTTTTAACGATAATTTTCTTTTGTAGGTTAAATCATCTAAAGGAAAACAGTCTTCCAGTAGAAATAAGAATGCCAGTGCCAGTGGTAATACAGTTAACAGCATTAACAATAGTTCACCTGTGAAGAAGAGTTCAGGAACACCAACCTTACCAGGATCCAGTTCATCTGGAAGCAGTGGCAGCAGTGGGACCAGTGAAGAAGATGAAGGTAGTGATGATGATGTGTCAAGTGTGGCAGGAACTGATACAACGGAGACAACCCTAGTTGATCGCAATGAAAATGAATTGCAGGTTTGTGTAACATGTATGTATTATGTGTATGTGAATACATGCCTGTAAGAAATAGGTATAGAATTAAACTGTTGGTTTAAGGTTTGACTCTTCAGTTTCTCATCAATATCACTATGTATTTTTCTTGCTGTTTTTGCCCCAGTGTAGAAAGATAAAGAAGAAAGCTTTTAGCCTTTAAACACCAGAATTTGAAATGGTGGTAGCTTGAGCTGGCCTGAGTTTATTTAAATGCCCATTGCTGCTGTGCATTTAAATGTCCGTTCCTCTTAGGGCTCTTAAATAATTTTAAGCACTGTGTTTGAAAATTCTGTGTCTAATAAAATTGTAATAAATGAATGGAATTAACTTTGTTTTTATCAGCAAAGAACTTAGTGTCGCATATTATAACATAACGTTTTAAACTGTTCAAACAGAGAAGTTATACTCTGTTTTTAATTTTTTTATTGTAATTTTGATGCATACTGTGAAAATAGTTTTCTGCTTTCCACAGAGTAGTTCTGCATTATAAAATCATTCCTGTTTCTAGCACTTGACATATTTTTGCAGTCTCTGGTGACAAAACAGTTTGAATTAATAAAATCGTTTGCTTCTGTCTTGGCAAGTTTGACATCTTTGTTACACTCATCAGATATACAAGTGTTTTGACTAAAGGACAAATAAGTGAAACCATGGCAGTTTAAGAAGGGCTACAGAGAAGATTTTTGTTTCCTACATCAGTGCGAAGCCCTTCCATTGCAGCTACAAGCCCTTTCTCTGATTAGACACAGACACTTGCATTTTGGCTGACATAAAGTGTGCATTTGGTTTTCTCATAGTTCACAGTGAATTCAAATATTGTAGTTTCTTGTCATTATGCAATGGCAATGAAACATTGTTTGGAAGATGATGAAATTAAAAGGTAGCAGAAATGCAAGATATGTGATGTGAGACTGTGCATTTTCGGGTGCTTCAAGGAGTACCACACAAAGGTGAGATTCAGTTACAGGTTGTGGGGGGAGGGGGGGGGGAAGCCTGTATATACATCAAGCAGAAAACGACATGTACTTTTAATTTTACGCTATTTAAATATAAATATGTAGGGTTGTGTGTGTGCTTCTACTGGTGGCATATGCACATGCTTCCTCCTCTAGCGATGTTTAAATGCCTGACCGCACAAATGAGGATGCTTCAGCTATGATGACCATACAATGCACTTTTGAAGTTAAAGGTTAAAATCAAATAAAGGAATCAGTGTTCAGATTGTGGTCTCCTGGGGTGCGATGCCATGGATAGGGTGGTGCATGAAATGATCCAGTATTTGATCTTTTAATGAAACCTTTATTTCAGTTACAGTACTAGAAACTAATATACAAAAAGAAAGGCCATTGCATGGAGATTTATCCTCTGTGAATCAGGTGTTCAGTATGACAACAGTTATGTCTGGGAACTGCTTCAACATGAACTGTGATGTTGTTGATTATATCCTCTTATCTCCTTGCAGGACTGAAAGATCAATGGTCTCAGTTCCATTATTGTTTGCGGCTTCTTTGGAAATATCTTGTTCTTAAGGAATCCCCGAAGAAAGTAGCAACATGGGTTTAAAACATGACTATTTGGGAGCCAGTTTTGTCCACATGCGAAATGATCAGAAAATGAGTTTTAGATAACACACAGGCAGAAAGTCCAAAACAGCATTCACTGTGTGCGTCCTGGTTCCAGCCTGCATAAACCACTGAGTTTGTAATGGCAAACCTGTAGCAGGGTGAGGCATAGAAGTATTGCACAATGCTTAAATAGCACCCGCTGTTCACTGTCTTCACTCTGAGAATGACATCATTTGAATTAAACATCAGTCAGGAGATGATTCATCAAATCCTCCGTTAAGATTTATGTAAGAGGAAGGTCTGCACAAAGTTCATCTCACACAGACTCACAGATGAGCAGAAGCAACGAAGACACATCATGCCAAGACTTCATCCAGACTTTTCAAGACAATCCCAGTTTTCTTGCTTGTACTTTTCTCTTTACTAAGGTGAAAACTACTCTGGAAAGGAAAGAGGTCTCAGGATGTTGAAGACAGGAAAACATGACAGCCAAAGTGAAACTTGTTTCTTTGTAATCCTTTGCTGTTTTCAAAATCTTTTTAAATGTGCAGCATATGTATTAAAGCAGGCTGAGATTACTTAGTATAGAAATAAAACAGTTTTTTATTTCTTCTTTGCACCTATCACAGGAGCAAATTGAAAGCTTGAAGCAGGAACTGGAAACTATGCGAGCCCGATGTGAGCGAGTGGAGAGGGAGAAGAGTGACATATTGCTACGCAGGATAGCAGCCTTGGACACAACACCTAGCAAGACTGCTGCCTCTGAGGTACTACAGTAAGCAGCAACATATTTTACTGGAAATAAGTAACATTTTGCATATTCTTAAATAATATTAAAAACTTCTTAGTACATTCAGGCAAAACATACAGTGAAGTGAAAGATATGTTAACTCTGCCTAAAACCATGCCATGATGTTTTATGGGCATATAGAAGTAAGACTTCATATTTATATCTTGAAGTAAATTAGTCCAGTCAACACCATCCATCCTTTGTTTTCAAGATCCATTCTAATACATCCTCCAGTCTACACCTAGGTCTTCCAAATTTTCTCCTCCTTACAGTTTTCTGACTAAAATATTGTGACATGTTGAGCTATGGATGACGCCCCTCTCCCCCCGCCAGCCGTGATGCGCCGAGCGAAGCCGAAGTGAGCCGAAGTTAGCCGAGTCCTAGCATCCTGGTCGCTATGCAAAGCGAGTCAACAGCGATGACGTCACCAAGGGCAGCACGGGTAAACAGGATTGCGAGAGACGACGGTGGTAACAGCGGTTACTACCGCTACTACTGCTCCGACTATTCTACTGCTACAAAATGGAGATGCAACAAATGATGGAAATGCTTCTCAAGGAAATCAGAGCCAGCCAAGAAAAAACGGAGGCTAAATTAGACGCCATTCAGGCGATGGCATTGGCGAGAATGGACGCCGACTCGAAAGCCTGGCGAGAAGAAATGGCCGCAAAAACCAGGGCTATCCAAGCGGAGACGAAAGCTATCCAAGCAAGGACGGCCGCCATGAGAGACCGAAGGGTGAATGCCAACCACAACGAGACTATGGCCTGCCGAGAGATGGAGGCAAGTCTAGAAGAGGAAAAGCCGGCCACAGTGGACGCGAAACCTGCGGCGGCACGACAAGAAGAGGTCCCCATAGTGATACCGGTCGGAGAGACGATGGCCTGCCTAGTAATGGAGGCACGTCAAGAAGAAGATCCGGACTCAGCGAACAGGAAACCTGAGGCGGCAGAACTACGAGAGGTACCCATAGAAGACGCCGAAGTAATACCGGTCAGAGAACCGAAGAAGAAAAGGCGCAGGGACCGACATCGATGA